TTACCAAGACGATAAAACTTGGAACATCGAAACATAAGAAGCTACAACCAAACTAATGTCGTTTACTGAAAACAACGAAGTTATCATGTATCTTCCTGATGGTGACGAAATGAAAGTAGAGTTGAACGCGGCAGGCGTTATGGCTTTCAAACAAGTTGCAACTAACTATTCGTTCTTCGCTGCGAAATAAAAACTAAAGCAGATAGATATATTAACCTCACATATCAAAGCATGTATTGCTACGATATGTGAGGTTTTTTTATACTTTTACGAGCATCAAGAACACATAGCCTTAATACTTGTTGTTATGATTACGATCGTTACAGGAGAAAAGGACAGTGGAAAGTCTTCTTATCTCCAAAACTGGTATACCTCTGATCCCGTTGGTTGCGGAATTCTCTCACAGAAAGTTATACGCAACAACCTTGTTGCCGGATATGACATGTTATTGTTGCCTTCGCTGGTAAAAATGCCGCTGTGCCGAACGCCAAACCACCTCGAGGATCTCCAAACAACAGATACTATTACGCAAGGACGCTTTACCTTCTCCGCCTCAACTTTTCAAGAAGCAATAAGTCAAACCATGCCTTTACTCCTATGCTCCGACACATTCTGGCTAGATGAAATAGGACAGCTCGAACTCAACAATGCCGGATATGCTCCGTTACTTCATTTTGCTATCATGCAGTGTTGTAATTTGCGCTTGGGTGTACGACTGAGTCTTTTGCCCGACATCATAGAGCGTTTCGACCTACATGCTTGCCAGATCATCAAGCTTTCTTAATGAAGTTGCTGCCTTGGCATTAAAAAAAAATCCTGCCCTCGTAATGAAGAGCAGGATGGTTCGTTTTTATAATTGCCTTGGTAAGTTTACTTCCAGCATTTCTTTTAGCGTTTTCTTTTCGCCGGATACAAATGCTTTCCAAATGTATTCTGAGAAGTTTCGCATCATATCGAATGTAATTTCCGGAGGCATTAGCAAAGAGTCGGGATTGACAACTACGTCTACAATTACCGGTCCGTCGTGAGCAAAGGCTTCTTCTATTGCTTGCTGCAAGTCACCGGGTTGTTCTACCCTAATTCCTTTCATTCCTACAGCTTCGGCAAATGCTGCAA